TGTCCAATAATACCGAACCTAACAGAGACAGGGAAGAAACAAGAGAAGTGGAAAGGAGAGAGATCCTTTAGAAAGGGAGAAAAAATAAGACAACCAGACCATGCAACCAGCTATTATGTCTGTAAAAAGGAAACTGTTCGTTGTGGGGAATCTTATGTGGAGAACCTGTAGGAGCTCCTGCAAAAGACTTGGATTTATATTTAGACTTCCTTTTATTGTCATTGCACAAAAAACACCAGGTGAATCTTGACGACGAAATGTCGTTACTTGGCTACCAGTGTGACAGAGCTAAGACATTATTCCTGCACAATAAATATGTTTTCTAAAGCTAAGAGCTAAGAGCTAGCTATATACCTTATTCCTACACAATAAATGTTTTTTATAACTAAGAGTCAAGAGCTAGCTATATGCAGGGTAAAGAACTATATATGTACATGTATATTGCAAAAAGAAACCTTAAGTTGAAGACAAAACTAAACTCAGGTGCCTGTGAGGTGACATAGGGAAGACAAAAGAACAAACAGGCAACAAAAGCAACACTGGTAGCAGAACATTAGTGAACTTCTCAGAACTGAACAGCAACTGGACAGAAGCTTAAGGAGGAATGTTTGTGACAGAGAAAAAGAGACACTGAGAGACTAAGAGAGAGAGACACTGAGACACACAGACTTGAGAAAAATGCAGAGACAGAAAGAGAGACTGAGAGAGACACAGTGAGAGAGACACTAAGAAAGAGACTGACACAGAGAGGGAGAGAGAGACACTAAGAGAGAGACATAGAGACACTGAAAGAAGGAGAGAGACACTAAGAGACATGGACACTAAGAGAGAGACATAGAGACAGTGAGAGGGAGAGAGAGATACATAGAAACAATATGAGAGAGAGAGAGAGACATAGACACTAAGAGAGAGAGAGAGAGAGACGCACTGAGAAAGAGACTGAGTGAAAGAATGAGAACCGGAGCCCAGGTTTCCCAGATTGTGCTCAATTATAGTTATAAACAAAACTCAGCTCTTTCAGATTTAACCAGATCTGGAAACCCTCTTCCTCCCCCTCCTGACTCCTTTCTCTCTCTCCTCTTTCTCTTCCTCCTCTTCCCTCAGATCCACATCTCCAAGAAGTACGGCTTCACCAAGTTCAACGCGTGCGACTTTGACGAGATGATGGCGGAGAAGCGTCTGATCCCGGACGGCTGCGGGGTGAAGTACATCCCCAGCCGCGGGCCGCTCGCCCGCTGGAGGCAGCTGCACGCCAACTGAGGCCCCGCCCCCTTTCCACGCCGGCCAATAAACACGGCTTTGAGTTCAAACGCTGGTCCGCCTCACTTTGTTCACTCAAAACTACAGAAAAATGTAAAATACAAAAAAAAAAATGGCTGAAAAGTAGTGTTTTAAAAGGCCATTTCTCCACATATGTCTGCAGGAAGCCAAGGATGGATATCCAACTCCCCCACATCCAAGTTGGCCATTTTGATTAAGTCACCAATAGGAAGATCCCAGGCAAGAAAATCCTAATAGCTTCATAGCAATATAGACATTTTGTTAAGAATAGTTAAATGAATCTGTTAAACACTGAATTAACTCTATCCATAATATTATGTTAAAATAGTGGATGTTAAATAGGTTTGTACAATAAGTCCAAACAAGTTTAACCAAAAAATATTTATTTCTCACAATTATGAAGGGTGGAGGGTTAGGATTAGGGTTAGGTTTTTTGTTGTTTTTTCATGGGTACCAGGTAAGTAAAATAATTAAAAAAGGTTTCAAATAGGAGTCAGCTCCTTTTTTTTATGCTAAAATTGTGTTTAAAATCTTTAAGAAAAGATCAAAACAGCATAAAACGCATATTTTTTTGCCAATAAAAAGGTTAGGGTTAGGACATTGTTTATCTACCAATTTCGTACAGACAGTAAAGTTTAGTTTCCGCTTCAGAAAGCTTCCAGTCACATGACCTAATCAAAATGGCCGACTTGGATGTGGGAGGAGTCGGATATCCAGCTGAGGCGTCTCAAACATCTAAATGAGTGGAAATAAAACATGAAACATCTAAAAAAGTTCCAGTTCATTAAAGGTTTTAATGGATCCTTTAAATAAAAGGGGATGAAAGAACCGGCTCCATAAACACGTAAATAAAACGTGTAAATAAAAGCTGTTTACCGGTGAAACGTTAAACCTCTCACTAGTTTTTAGGATCAACTGGAATCCAGAAAGAAGAAGATGAATAAAAAATGTAGTTTTTTAGCCTCATAGGAAGCAGATCAAAGATTTGAAGTTAGGATGTCATTCCCAAATTGTCTTTGTATCCTTAAATGGAAATAATTTCATACATATGAACACCTGGGTTCTAATTTGACTTGATTACGGTTATATTGAACACAAATCTAGTTCAAAGAAGCGAGCAGATATGTTTTAGTAAGGTCCACTCTTGTTTGGGTTGGGCTTTCCAGGGAAAATAAAGCAAACATAAGGTCTATAGGATGATCATTTTGAGAAATGTTATTTAAAAAAGTCCTGAAATTCTCGTTCTGCCGCTGTGTGGCATCACAGAGGTCAAAGGTCATCCTGTTAATTAAAGCCATCAATGGAGGAAAAAAGATCAAACGATTATTTTTTCTTGTTTATTTAGAAAATAACTATTTTTTTAAGGCATTCATGAAGGTGCTTCTATTTCAGCTCAACTTTTCTGCGTGATTTTTTATTATAATAGATATAATTTATTTTAATTGTAGTTACATATTATGACCACTAGATGGCATCAACTCATACGCATTAATTAGTGTTTCTGGCTCCTTATTACCAGTTTAATTAATCTATATATGTATATTTATATGCTGCATTTCTATATACTTGCGCAGATCAAACTTTTATAAACTGTTTTTATTTTAAATTGTATTACGTTCTGTCTATAAGACGGTAAAAAGACGTTTTCTAAAACCCGGGTTTGGTCGTATGTCAGGGAGTTGGGAACCGTCTGTTCCTGTTTTTAAAAGAAAGTGAAACTTTAAGACTCAGCTTGTGATTAATGGAACGTCTCAGAGATTAAATAAATACATAAAAGCTCAGATAAGCAGTCAAAAAACAGACACACTTTTGGGTTCAATACTGGATCAAAGGTTTATTCTCTTTATTCAGATTTCCCGAGTGTAGCTGACTGTTGTGGAAATTTTATTTTAAAGCAAAAGTCTGAGTCCATCTGAGGAAGAAAGAAATAGAAATTTATTAAAAGGGAAAAAGGGAAGGGAAAAACTTAATGAAGTGAGAGCAGCCAGCAGGACCAGACAAGTGGTTCATATGAAGTACCAAACTAGCCCAAAGTAAAACAAATCATAGTACATTTTATACCCTCCTAAAATAAGACGTAATAAGTCTGTCCTTCATTCTGCTCCTGTATTAAACAATCCTCCAGACAAAACACTAAGAGATAAAGTATAAGGAGACCCTCTCTGAGACCTAGAAGGAATGAGTCCCATGAGAAAGAAAAAGAACCTTTAAAATATTCACTTGTGGAAAGTTACCAGAGAGAAATTAAGTAACACTGACTCAGTCTGGAACATTATCAGGTTAAAGTTTAGAGGTTAAAGGTCACGTTAGTGGCACTGAACAGGCGGCTGAAGTGTGACTCATGACCAAAAAGGGAAAAAAATAAAAAAAATAAAACAGGCTGAGACGCGTTCAGGTCCCTCCCACAGGAAGTGTTTCGGGCTGGTTCAGTTCCCGACAGAAGAAAGAACCAAACCACCGGCCAGAACCAGGTGAGTGGCTCCAGGTCCATGTGGTCGGGGGGGGTCAGGAGGGGGGGGGTCCCACGGGGGGGGGTGGGGTGGTAGGTAACCTGATCCAGGAATGTCAGCGGGAGTGTTTGTGACTCAGATAGAAACAGGCTGCCGTCGTAAAGGCAGAACGGAGTCTGAGAACATTAGAGAACAGCAGACTGGAGTTGTTTATGTTTATGTTTCTGCATTTGTCAGACGCTTTTATCCAAAGCGACTTACAGAGTAGACCCAATATTCCATTTATCATCACTATGACAATAAGTTATCCAGAGGAGAAACCCTGATCAGAGTCAGTGGTGAGATAGAGATAGAGGTAGAGGTAGAGGTAGAGATAGAGATAGAGATAGAGGTAGAGATAGAGATAGAGGTAGAGGTAGAGGTAGAGATAGAGGTAGAGGTAGAGATAGAGGTAGAGGTAGAGATAGAGGTAGAGGTAGAGATAGAGATAGAGGTAGAGATAGAGATAGAGGTAGAGGTAGAGGTAGAGATAGAGGTAGAGGTAGAGATAGAGGTAGAGGTAGAGATAGAGGTAGAGATAGAGGTAGAGATAGAGGTAGAGATAGAGGTAGAGGTAGAGGTAGAGATAGAGATAGAGGTAGAGGTAGAGGTAGAGGTAGAGATAGAGATAGAGGTAGAGATAGAGATAGAGGTAGAGGTAGAGATAGAGGTAGAGGGACTAGAGAAGGAGCCGGCAGCAGGTTTGGGGCAGAGATCAGATCAGGCCACAGTGGTGACAGTTTCAACTCATCCTGTTAGCCGTCCTGGCTCATGTGGGGAGCAGGAAACAACTGGAAAACAGAGCTATGAACAGCTGGAAACAACTCGAAATGGAATTGTAAACAGCTGGATACAGAGCTAGAAACACCTGTAAACAGACGTAAACAGAGCTGTGAACAGCCGGAAAACAGAGCTAGAAAGAGGGCTGGAAATAGCTGGAAACAGAGCTTGAAACGGCTGGAAACAAATGGAAAACTAACCTTTAAAACAAGCTGTAAACGACTGGAAAAAAGAGCTTTAAACAGAGCTAGAAACAGCTGGAAACAAAGCTAGAAACACCTGTAAACAGACGTAAACAGAACTGTGAACAGCTGGAAACAGCTGGAAAAAAGAGCTTTAAACAGAGCTGTGAACAACTGGAAAAACAGAACTGTAAACAGCAGAAGCTGACAGCTGCACAGACTTAGACTTTGAAAACTTTATTGTCATTTTGTACGTGCAGAGTAGATACACAACTATGATGTTGCACAGAGCTTATAGTATAAAGTGCAGAAGTGAGCAGATGCAACAATGCAGGAGAAAAAACTGCGTGCAGGAACACTGACCCTAACCCTAACCCTAACCCTAACCCTAACCCTGACTCTAACCCTAACCCTAACCCTAACTCTAACTGTCTGACCCTAACCCTCCACCCAGAAATAAATATTTTTTGGTTATACTTGTTTGGACTTATTGTACAAACCTATTTAACATCCACTATTTTAACATAATATTGTGGATAGAGTTTAATTCAGTGTTTGCAAGATTCATTTAACTATTTTTACATTAATGTCTATATTGCCATGAAGCAATTAGGATTTTCTTGATCTTCTTTGATCTTCCTATTGGTGACCGAATCAAAATGGCCGACTTGGATGTGGGGGGTTTGGATCTCTGCAGTAGACGGACTCTCTTCGACAGGCAGACGGGGCCTTTATTTATTTTTATGGAACAGAAAGAGAAGCTGAAAGTCTGTGAGAAACTTCTTCCTGTTTCTCAGAAAAACAGGAAGCTGCTGAAACATGTCTGCCCGAGGCCTGTGAATGGTGCGTTCAGGGGCTGTAGGTGCTTTCAGTCTCCTTTCACATGATACTATTTAGTTAAAGTATTTTTTTTGTTTTTGTAATTAATCAATAAAACCATCAGTTTTTCCCTCTTTATCCCTATAAATGGGGATAAATGATACAAATGTATCATATTTGGCATTATTTGGCATAGTAATAAATTATTAAAATGAAAATGTATTTCTGTTTTTTCTTTTTACATATTTTGTTAAAAAGCCAAATAAGGAATTCAAACAAAAAAAATTAATTTTCTTTTTTGTTTTATTCTTGGATCAGACTTTAATGGGTTAAGGATGTGAGGTGAAAAGAAATTAAAGCATTATAAAGTTGACAATTTAAGTCATAAAAAAAGTCAGTTAAACAGTGTGAACAACATAAATACATTTTGGTTTATGAATTCTTGCGTTTATGCATTTTTTTCAGTTTTTTTAGACCAGAAAAAGTGGCAAAAATAGTTTTTTTTATTGAGCTGATGAGGATTTTTACTGTGCCCTTAGGGGTTAGATGAGGAACAGAAACCCCTTTATCTCCAGAGGGAGGCCTCGGCTTTCTGAGTTTATCTCTTTGGAACAGGGACTCAGAGCGTTACGGTCACTCTTCTTAAAGGGGCAGCGCGCCTTTTTTCCCTTCACAACACATTCCGTGTTTTCATTGGGTCTGTATTGTGCAACTTGCAGAGGGTAATTGCTCTTTATGTCTCCTGAAGGATATTTGCTCTCAGCATTTATCATTAATTTCTCTACTGCATATATTTGTATATATTTTACTTTATTCATTAATATTGTGCATTTGTGTTTATTGTAAAAACTCATATTTTGTATGTCTGTTTGTTACTTTTAGTAAACCACGGTTTACGCTTCACAGTGTGACTTATTTCCTACAAAGAGTGTGTGGGTCTTCATTGGGAGTTATCCATTTTGGTTAGGTTTAGGGTTAGGGTTAAGGTTAGAGTTAGGGTTAGGGTTAGGGTTAGGTTTAGTGTTATGGTTAGGGTTAGGGTCAGGGTTAGGGTTAGGGTCAGGGTTAGGTTTAGGGTCATGGTTAGGGTTAGGTTTAGGGTCAGGATTAGGGTTAGGTTTAGGGTCAGGGTCAGGGTTAGGTTTAGGGTTAGGGTTAGGGTTAGGGTTAGGTTTAGGGTCAGGGTTAGGGTCAGGATTAGGGTTAGGTTTAGGGTCAGGGTTAGGGTCAGGGTCAGGGTCAGGGTTAGGTTTAGGGTCAGGGTTAGGTTTAGGGTCAGGGTTAGGTTTAGGGTCAGGGTCAGGGTTAGGTTTAGGGTCAGGGTTAGGGTTAGGGTTAGGGTTAACTAACTAGGTCACTAACTATGACCCTAGCCCTGACCCGTTCAGGGTGCCATATCTAGCACCATTTTTTACAACAGGGACTCAGAGGTTTGGATCAGATTAGGGTTGTCACGATACTAAAATTTTCAACTCGATACCGATACTCAGGAAAATATCACAAGGATAAAAACAAAGACCCCAAATTGAACTGAATTGTGTCTTTCATTTGGTGAAACTTGTTTGGACTTATTGTATAAAACAATTTAACATCCAATATTTTAACATCATATTATGGATAGAGTTTCAGAATCAGAATCAGAAATACTTTAATAATCCCAGAGGGAAATTATTTTTGTTACATTCAGTGTTTGAAAGATTGATTTAACTATTTTTGAATTATTGTCTATATTGCCATGAGGCAATTAAGATTTTCTTGCCTGGGATCTTCCTTTTGGTGACGTAATCAAAATGGCCGATTGGATGTGGGCGGAGTTTTATATGTACTTGATTACTGTTGGCGTGTTGTTATTAGCCATTAGCCGCATAAACAACGTAAATAAATACATAAATAAATCAGAGAGAAGGGGCGCAGCGACGGTGGTATCGATACTTTTGAAAATGAGTATCATATCCGGATACAACATTTTAGTATTGATACTTTTTTAACTCATTGACTGGCAGCCATTTTCAGAACAGAGAGTCGCTCACTGCCAGAGTTTTTTGAGAATTTTGACTGATTTTTCAAGAGCCACAGAATAGTTTGTGCTATGACTATGTAAACACCGAACACACCAAAAGAAAGAGTAGACTCTCTTCTTTCATCAGGAAAAAAAAACGTGTTTCTACCTTATTCCGTTCTTCCTGGACTTGCGTCTCACCGGCGACATGTTCTCTCATAGAACCGTTCCCTTTTTCTTATTTGCCTACAGTCTATGCTCATCTCCCATCAAAAGTGGCACTGCCCCCTAGAGGGTAAATTTGTTACTACATACTCTGTCTAGAAGCCCATATTTACGGGAAAACTTTCGCCGATCGTCCCCCAAGCCACTCGCATTGAAAAACATAAAAGACGTCTATAGACGTCTTTGGCAGCCAATGAGTTAAGTATCGATACTTTTGACAACCCTAGATCAGATAAGACGTGTGTTTTTCTGTTTTTCTGTTTCCTGCTCTTAGATCCAGCCGGAGGCGTGGTTTGTCCCGGTTTGGGCTCGGTGGGATGGGGGGGTTGATGCTTCCCTCCATAATGCTGGCGCTCTGCTTCCTGCTGGAGGCGGGCGCCGCTCAGCGTTCGGGGTTCAGGGTCTGCGCCTTTAACCTGCATCACTTCGGGGAGTCAAAGTCCAGGAAGAGCGACGTCATGCAAACTCTGGCCCGGGTGAGAAGGCCCACAAAGGCCCAGTTTCACTATAATCACTCTAATTAAATCCACCTGTTCATACTTAGTTTACTCTTTTAGCTTTTGTTTTGTTTTGTTTATGTGCAGACAAGCTTTTATTTTGTAGTTTCTTGTTTGTATTTGGTATTTATCTATCTTTAAACAATAAACTATAGCACAGAGGTGTTATTATTTTTTATTATAACTCTAATTAGTTGATAAATAAATATGTTATTTCTATTATATTCATACTTAGTTTACTGTTTTACCTTTTGTTTTGTTTAGTTTTTTTGCACGTGAGCTTTTATTTTGTAGTTTCTTGTTTGTATTTGGTATTTATTTATCATCTTTAAACCATAAACTACAGCACAGATGTGACTTTTTTTCAGAACTCTAATTAGTTATAAAATCAACCTGTTCATACTTAGTTTACTGTTTTAGCTTTTGTTTTGTTTATTTTTTTGCAAACAAGCTTTTATTTTGTAGTTTCTTGTTTGTATTTAGTATTTATCTATCATCTTTAAACAATAAACTACAGCACAGAGGGGTTATTTTTTGTAGCTCTAATTAGTTATTACATCAATCTGTTATTTGTATTATATTCTACTTAGTTTACTGTTTTACCTTTTGTTTTGTTTATTTTTTTGCCGACAAGCTTTTATTTTGTAGTTTCTTCCTCTGCTCTTAATTTTTCTAATATTATCTCTAACTTTTATTGTGTTTTTATTTGGTATTTATTTATCTTTAAACCATAAACTACAGCACAGAGGTGACATTTTTTGTTACTGTAATTATTTATTAAATCAACCTGTTATGTGTATTTTATTCATACTTAGTTTACTGTTTTACCTTTTGTTTTGTTTTTTCACACTTGAGCTTTTATTTTGTAGTTTCTTCTTCTGCTATTCATTTTTCTAATATTATTACTAAATTTTACTGAGTTTGTGTTTGTATTTGGTATTTATTTATCATCTTTAAACCATAAACTAACTTTACAGTATAGGAAACCCTAACCCTAACCCTGACCCTAACCCTAACCCTATTCCTAACCCTAGCCCTGACCCTCTGTTCCAGATCATCTCCCGCTGTGACGTGTGTCTCCTGCAGGAGGTCAGAGACAGTAAAGGGACGGCCCTGCCCAAACTGCTGGAGCAGATCAGGCTGTGAGCACAACAGACTCACAATAGACCCACAACAGACGCACAACAGACACGCACATTCACGCACACTAACCCTAACCCTTTGATCAACTTTTTAATCAAATTAGACTCAATTCAGTATAATTTATAATAATTAATTAACAATTTAAATACTTTTATAATCCAGTTCAATTAAAGGATTTCCATTTAAATGCTCAGGAAGTTCAGCTTTAATGTGAAAAACGCCTTAACTTTATTTTACCGTTATTTAATCTGGAAAAGCATCAGCTCAAACTCTTGTGTTTACAAACCGACCCTCTGTGATTGGTTCTTACTTCCGGGTTGCAGCTCCGACCCCGCGCATGCGTACAAGTCCGTGGCCAGTGCGCGACTGGGCCGGACCGAGTCCTACCAGGAGCAGTACGTCTTCGTCTACAGGTGAGCCCCCCCCCCCCCACACACGCACGTGCACGCTCATGCGCACGTGCACGCTCATGCACGCGCCTCACCCCGTGCAGGTCGGACACGGCCACGCTCGCGGACACGTACCAGTACCCGGATGACCTGCCCGGGGACGAGGACGCCTTCGCACGCGAGCCGTTCGTGGTGCGCTTCCGCGCGCCCGCGACCAGTACGTGCACGAGCCCGCAGGAAGCCCCGCCCACATCCGAGTCGGCCATTTTGATTAGGTCAAAAGTTTAACCAAAAAATATTTATTTCACACAATTATGAAGGGTTGGAGGGTTAGGGTTAGGTTTAGGATCAGGGTTAAATTTAGGATTAGGGTCATCCAAGTCGGCCATTTTGATTAGGTCACCAATAGGAAGATCCCAGGAGAGAAAATCCTAATTGCTTCATGGCAATATAGACATTCATTTAAAAATAGTGAAATGAATCTTGCAAACACTGAATTAAACTCTATCCATAATATTGTGTTAAAATAGTGGATGTTAAATAGGTTTGTACAATAAGTCCAAACAAGTTTAACCGAAAAATATTTATTTCTCACAATTATGAAGGCTGGAGGGTTAGGGTTAGGGTTAGGGTGAGGGTTAGGGTCAGGGTTAAGATAGGGTTACGGTTAGGGTCAGGGTCAGGGTCAGGGTTAGGGTTAGGGTTAGGGTCAAAATCTGGGTTAGGGTTAGGGTCAGGGTTAGGGTCAGATTTAAGGTTAAGGTTAGGGTTAGGGTTAGTGTTAGGGTTAGTTTTAGGGTTAGGTTTAGGGTAAGGGTTAGGATTAGGGTCAGGGTTAGGGTTAGGGTCAGGGTCAGGGTCAGGGTTAGGGTTAGGGTCAAAATCTGGGTTAGGGTTAGGGTCAGATTTAAGGTTAAGGTTAGGGTTAGGGTTAGTGTTAGTGTTAGGGTTAGTTTTAGGGTTAGGTTTAGGGTAAGGGTTAGGTTTAGGGTTAGGGTCAAAGTCTGGGTTAGGGTCAGGGTTACGGTTAGAGTTAGGGTCAGGGTTAGGTTTAGGGTTAGGGTCAGGGTCAGGGTTAGGATTAGGGTTAGGGTTAGGTTTAGGGTCAGGGTTAGGTTTAGGGTTAGGACATCGTTTATCTTCTGATTTCGTACAGACAGTAAAGTTTCGTTTCCACCTCAGAAAGCTGCTAGTCACATGACCTAATCAAAATGGCCGACTTGGATGTGGGAGGAGTTAGGCTCCAGATGTGAACACTTCTGCCCTAACCCTAACCCTAACCCTAACCCCTAGCTGTGAGGGACTTGGTGCTGATCCCCCAGCACACCGCCCCCTCCAACACCACCAAGGAGCTGGACGCGCTCTACGACGTCCTGCAGCGCGTCAGGAGCATGTGGAAAACCGAGGTATAACCCTAACCCTAACCCTAACCCTAAACCTAACCATAACCCTAACCCTAACCCTAAACCTAACCAAGACCCTAACCCTGACCCTAAACCTAACCCTAACCCTAACCAAGACTCTAACCATGACCCTAAACCTAACCAAGACCCTAACCCTGGCCCTGACCCTAACCTTAACCCTAAACCTAACCCTGACCCTGACCCTAACCTTAACCACGACCCTAACCCTATGTGGAAAACCGAGGTAACCCCCCCAACCCTAACCCTAACCCTGACCCTAACCCTAACCGCATGTGGAAAACCGAGGTAGGACCC